TGCTGCCACTGGCTCACTGACGCCAGCACTGCCCGGCCAATCACGTCCGCCATCGATCGCACTGGCCTGGAAGGGAGGGAGGTGGGAGATGGAGTGAGGGTGGCGAGGGATGGAGGAAGGGCAGTGAGAGATGATGTGGAGGGAGGAGAGGAGCGATGAAAGGAGGGCATGCAATGCGATGTGTTACCATCCAAGCAAGCGTGCGCCTGGGCTGAATGTCAAAACTGCCGGGCCATGAGAGGAGAGCCCTCAATCACAGCCGTACCTGTGTGCTGACACCATGCACGCATGCAGCAATAAATCCACCTGGCTAGTTTTCGCCTTGGAGCCGCCACTGTGAGCCACCTGGAGCCACCTTGAGCCGCCGAGTTACTACTAACCATGAACACAACGAGCACAACTCAAGCCCAACACACTACATGGGCCCACAACTCTTATGGCCCCACCCGTAACATCACAGCGCGTGCACAGGCGCCATGTGAGTGAACAGTGAGTGTGCGTGCAGCAGCTGCCATTCGATCTAAGCCACTCGCTCGTCCACTCCACCAGCTCTATCCTCAAGCACCTCAATCAACTGACCTCAGCAACCAGGGCCTGTGTGAACGCGTCCAGCACCCGCCATCTCGCCTCCTGCACCCCTGCAACAGCAGCACCGCCGCCGCCAACGCCACCAGCATCTCCTCCCTGCCACCTGCCTATGCGCCGTACCTGCCCCTATGCGCACCCCGTGCCTCCCCCCTTGCTGCCCCGCCCACTGGTGCCTGCCCCGCTGCTCTTCATCCTGTTGCGCTAGTCTCTGCTGTGCTGCCGTCGTCTCCCCTCCGGGCTGTCAACCTCATCACTCCCATCGCCCCTGCCCCTATCCCCACCTGCCTGCCCCTGCCCCTCCCGCGGGAGCACCTTTCCCGCCCTCGAATGCTTCCCGGCCCCCCAATCCCCTCTCCGCGCATACTCTTCCCCCTCGTCCCCGCCTCCGCCTCGCCCCCGCAAGCTAGTCTCTTCCCCCGCCTGCTCCAGTAGCTCTTCCGTCGCTTCCCTCGCCCCGCCCCGCCCACCACCCCCCCGCGTTCACTCTCACTGCCCCTCCCCGCCTCACTGCAGGCCCGCGCGATTCCCCCAAACCCGCGCTTCTCCGCCCCAATCCTGCTTCCCCTCGCCCGAGAGGCATCACTCCGCTCCGCGCGCCGCCAGTCTCCTCTCGCCGCCCTCCGCTGCATTGAAACCATCGCGACGTTTGTATCGAGGCTGCTTGTAACGAGCACTCACGCCTCGCGCCCTCTAATAATGCCGAGGCCCAACCGTCGCCTGTCGCAACCTATCGATTCTCGCTTATCCGCCTCAACCCGCCTCCGCGGCCCCGCCTCGCTCCCGCAAGCCCACTGTGCTGGCGGCAGCAAGGCGGGGCGGAGCGGGACAGCGGTGGGCGCAGTGCGCGGAAAGCAGATGCGCGCCATGCTGGGGGGAGGGAAGGGAAAGGCATAGCAGGAATCTTAAAATCGCCAGTCTTACGCTGTGCCAACTGCCTTTCCATAGCTCGAATCTCTCATCTCACGCAAACTTATGCGTGCAGCGTTGGTGCTGTCATGCAGTCACGGATCCCGCTCAAGGGGGAAGGTAGCTCAAGTCTTTTTTCTAGATCAGGTATCTAGTCCAGAAACTCCCAATCATTGCGAAACTCATCCAGCGTTGGTGCGGAGGGGAATCATGCGACGAACAAGGGTAATAAGCGTTTGCGAACAGAAACAAGGTTGAAGTACTCCCCCAACAGAGCTTTTGTACGAAGGTTTTGTGGGTGAGCAGAATCCGCGAAAGACAGTGCGATTTCATTTGACGACACACTTTTCAGTTACTGGAAACCAGCTGCTCGTCGTAATCCGTCCTACTCACTTCCCCCTACACATTTCTTTGTGCCTGCTCGTTGCGCTTCAGCAGCTTCACAACTGCTACGACAGACAGATGCGCAGTTTACTGGCAGGCCAAGCCGCGTCGGCACGATGTCGGATCCCCTTCGATCTATAAAACGTAGCGCTTTCTTTCAGGCAGATTGCAGACAAGATCTGTGGTTGCTCGTAGCACATCCGCTAGAGATCGCTTCTCAAGTGCCTTGAGAAACCTCTTGCGACGTCTCAGAGATACAAGCACTTGTGCGACCTACTCCGGGAAGCGCCGCGTTTGACTCTGGCAGAATGTCGACGTCTCGTTCGTCCGTTTCCGCCTGGAATTGCGTTCTTGACGTATAACATGGAGCTGCATTTTACCCTCGGGTCATCTCTCGCTGTAGATTCAGCAGCCCGCTCGCTCTTCTCGTTCCAGCCTAGCTTGGCCCAATCAGGCTCGGGTTTCAGCTACCTTACCACCCTGACCGAGTAATATATTAATCGCGAGTCTACAAGCTCCGATTTACGTCCGAGTCTTGGCTTTCCGAATGTTGAATCTCTTTCGCGCCGCGTTGGGTGAGTTTTTGGTTTCAAACCGGATAAGGGAGCGCTCGAACCGTTGTTGCTGGGAGGAGTGCAGTGCTAAAATTTATTGAAGTTGGAGTAGGTCACTGTAACAGATTGGGATTCTCGCGTGCATGGGAATACCCGAGCAGGGAAAATTCTTTGCCTAGGTAGCTCCGAATAGGGATATGTCTCAATCTCGTAGCATACCTCGTAGCTTTGTCGGGTACAAAGAAGCTACACGAATCCAACAGAGAGTGGCATCGAGGCGCTATGCCAAGATGCCATGCTAGTAAACGAGTGGCGACGCGGCTTTCCTTCCAAGTCGCTTTCCTCCTTCCTAGCTTCATTCCTCTTCCCTGGTTGGTCTTGTATCATCGTTGGATCATGTTATTCCAAATTCCGAATCTGTCCTCTGGAATCTTGATCTTCTCCTTTTCATTTCTTCGAAGTTCGTTTACGATCACACGTCTCTCTCCTACCTTTATCTTCTGCAGCAACTATCCTCTCTTTCAATTCGTCTCTCTCTTTGGTACGGCGCCACCGTCGCGACGGCTGGCCTGGCCAGCCACGGCGAGCGTAGCAGCACCTTAGACTTGTTTCAGTCAGCGCTTGCATAAGTGGGTTTCAGTAGCGTTTGCTTTGAATAGTTTCTGTTCTTTGTTTTAGTCAGGATTGTTACTCCTTTCATCTCTTCTGATCATCTCCCTGTTCCTTCTGTCTCATATTTCGTCTCTCCTGGTCTTCCCCCTCCCCTCCTTATTGTCCCATCCTTCCGTTTCCTTTCCTCTCTCCTCTCGCTTCCTCTTCCCCCCCTCTCCCCTCCGTCCTCACTCTTTCCTTCCGGTTCCCCTCGTCCCCCCCCTCTTTCTCTCTCCTGATTTTTTCCTAATCTTCATTCGCGTGCTACTTCGGCCCCTATTCTTGCCTCTCCCATTTTCCCTTTCCTTATCTGTGATTTATTTTTCGCCTTCCCCAAACTGTCTATCCCCTCTCCTGCCATTCCACTCGTGTCTGTCTGCAGTATTCGCAACAGTCACGTCCGCACTTGCTGCGCCAGCTCTCGCGGGCGTCACACCCATCAGCAGCATCGGTCAGTCAGAGAGTGTCAGTTCGCCTCGCAAGCTGCTGCTGCGAGCCTCCAATCCCAGGCAGCTGGACGAATTAAACCCGGATAATTGCACTGACGGGGATGGCAACACTGGTGGTGGCCTCAGCACCGGCGACGGTGGCAGCAGCGGCGATGGTGGCAGCAGTGGGGACCGCGGCAGCGGCGGGGACGGTGGTGGCAGTGGGGACGGCGGCAACGGCAGCAGTGGGGACCGCAGCAGCGGTGGGGACGACGGCAGCGGCAGTGGGGACGACGGCAGCGGCAGTGGGGACGGCGGCAGCTGCAGCAGTGGGGGCAGCGGCAGCAGCGGGGACGGCGGCAGCAGCAGTGGGGACGGTGGCAGCAGTGGGGACGGCGGCGGCGGCGGCAGCTGCAGTGGTGGGGACGGCAGCAGCAGCAGTGGTGGGGACAACAGCGGTGGCGGTGACAGCAGCAGCAGTGTGGACAAGGCTGCAATTCCAGAGGAGCACAGCAGGGCACGTCAGGAAGTTCGTGTGCCGGATGTCTCATGAAACGACGGGTCAGCAGCAGCAGCAGCAGCCCAGGCATGAGCAAATGAGCTTGCTTATTGAGGATGTATCATGGAGCATGGAGGAGCGGATTGGCTTGGGCAGAACCTGTCTGGAAGGGCCCTGTGCAGCTCAACAGTGACGAGGACCGGGCGGCGGTGCAGTCGTGGGTGGCGGAGAAGGCGGGCTGGACATACAGCCCCGTGCCAGAAGGGGTGTGCGGCTGGCAAGCAGTGCTTGCACCACGCAGGTGGTGCGGCGGGATACCACACAGGTGGGGTGCGGTGCTGCCCAGTGTGCGGATGGTGGAGGCATGTGGGTATGCGACTATTCCCCGCCATGCAATATGGTTGGGTCGACTCCGTACTAGGACCCTTAAAACCAGGGTCTCACGTAAGAGAACTTGTGATCAACTGCAAAACAATTGAGGTTTGGTCACCCTGTTTGAGGTGGCGAAGTCTAGGGATTGGCTTGACACTTGGCTGTGCGACACCTCCCGTATTTGCCTCTGAAGCAATTGCAAAACATTTTGATGGTACATGAGACCGACAGACAGGATGCTCGAACATTTTGCGGGTGTTTTAGCTTTGGCACCGAACCAGTTTCCGTGCCTAGATGGGTTCGGACACAAACTGCGATTTGTGTTTCCTTCGCTCCCCTCGTCACACTGCTCGTCATTCTTTCCACCTCGCCAACCAATCCTAACCAGGGTGAAGTCATCAACTGCAAAACAAATGATCTACGTGAGACCCTGGTTTTAAGTGGAACAGTTTGCAGGGCGTGGTAAGCTGGTTTAATAACCAATAAATAATAATGAGGCATGTCGCCCTGCCCCGCCTTGCCTTTTTCTTGTAAGCGATTGCTCAATAGATACCCAGTGGACAATCAAATACCACTTGCGTAATACCAACATCCGTTAGTCAAACCAATTCCGCTATCCTATCGTACTTCAGGTGCCTGAACATTCCGCCTCCTTGACCAAATCGCTGCAACGATGACAGATGCCAACGCCCGGTCATGACTGTCACTGCTTTCAATCATTACCTGAAGACGAAAATTCACACCACACAGAAAGGGGAAAGAACACGTTACACCACACAGAAAGGGAAAGAACCAGATTCGTCAAGTAATGCCTTGATGCATGCATGCCTAAGCAAGTCCCTCGAAATAGTAAACCAGGCCCCCACCTTGATAAGCTTCTTGCTGTCCTCATCACCCATTTGATGGATAACATGGCGCATGAGGCCATTCTTGGTCCTTGCTGCTCCAAGGGTGTCAACGAATTTTAAATCCTCAAGAAGTGTTGCCTCTTCAATGGGCATTGCGCACAGCTGGCGATCCATCTCAAGCACCAACTCAGGCACGTTGTACTTGTGAGCTGCTTCAAGAAGAGAAAAGCCATGCGCCTGTAATGGAGGGAAGAATGGTGAGGAGCTTGGTATGGGAATATGTCAAGTTTAAGGTTCAGAAGAAAGGGTTTCACTATTTGGCAGTGGCCTACCAGGATGTCCTGAATACAGAAGGCATCTACGTACCTTGCGATTCTCTTCAGGCAGCACCATGGCGCAGCCATACATGAATGACACGAGCAGCTTCAAAGTCCCTGCATCCATGTCATTCAGCTTCACCACCGAGCCCTTCTCATTCTCAACCAGTGAAGTATCAAACAGCGCCTCCAGCACAGGAGACCTGGCGAAACCGGCAATACAAATTTGTGAGAACATCTAGCCAGTACCAGGCATTACAATGATTCAGATTCGAAAGGTCAGCAATATAAAACAAACCAAAACTGAATACTAACCATTGTGCTATAACGCTACGGTGTGCAGCGACCTTGGTACCATCCGAAGCCTCAAAGGTTACATCAGTGAATTTCTCTGCCTCAAACATATTCTTGAGCTTTGCTATGAAACATGCTGAAGGTGGGTACCTGAAATTTCTCAGCCGCATCCCCATACAATAGAATGCAGTGAGACGTGAAATGACAATCATGAAACTAGCAAATGACATGAGAAGATGATAAAAGAAAACAAGAAAAAAGAACGATCCTAGACATATTGATAGAGTGAAATACCTTAGCTTAGGCTGGTCATCACCACTGCTCTCACTGCAATCATCAAAGATAATCAGCAAGGATAATGTTTTGAGTTGATTGACTTGGAAAGGCTAGATGGTCAATAAGTGCAAGCAGACAAACTTTATTTGCTATGTATATTGCTATTTATAAGAAACGCTGAACTAGAGCACGACAAGAGTGCCAACCCCAGATAAATGCAAGGCCCACTGGAAGGGAGAAGAGAAGAGAGATGCAACGATCCAGGACTGCCCTACATCGGAAAAACAGGGGGGTTGGAGGGGTAGGTTTATTTTCAGGTGCTTCAGGGTAGCTCGACTCAAAGGTACAGCGTAGCTACCCTTCAGTTGCTTTCAGCGTGGGCGCTTCGGGAATCAGAGGGATTACGAAAGCGTGAGTTGGCGTGGAGCTTGCGTGGACGATTTTGGTTGGATTTCGATTCACACCTATGGGATAGCTGCTGTTAGCGAAATTCCTCAGCTTCGTTTGCATTTCCTGTTTTAAATTCGCCCATTTCATCCGATCACAGGTTTCGGAGAAAGGCTTTGGTCGTGTAAGGCCCGCTAAGGAGTTTTGGGCCCGCTAAGGAACACCTAGTGTTTTATATTTTTAAAGTACCTGCATAGCCTGTAACCAATTCTACTAGGTATACATTTGAGATTTCCAATATTTAATTCGAAACAATTATGTTAACTACTTTGGCTATTGTTCCCTGTAATTATGTGTTGTTTTCACTTCAAGTAATTATTATTACTGATACTTACGATCAATCACTGAATTCATAATTACATGCTAAACGGTTGCGGGACCTCAATGTGGGTCTCGTGAAAGACGCGATTGCGAAATTAATATGGGAATATCATTGCATTGATAATAGGTGTTGGTTAAGAATGCAGGTCATTCCTATCACAACATGATAATTTAACATACGGTATCAAGTTGCTCTCACCTACGACACATACCTGGACTCTTCCCTTATCGGCACTGTGCTCCCGTTCTCAGAAAGATTTGAAATTGATATGGGGAGCTCATTGCATTGATAGTAAGTGCTGGTTTATAATGCAGGCCAGTCCCATCACTCTAGCATAGTTCAACATGCCACTGCATCAATTGCAATGTGCTGTTTCTTACATTGAAGACACGCCTCGAGAGTTCCCTTCACACCACTATGCTCCCGTTCTTCGAATGATATGATATTAATATGGGAAGATCGTTGCACTGATAGTAACTGCCGGTTAAGAATGCAGGCCACTCCCATCACACGATCATAGCTAAACCTGCCAAGCTGCATCAAGTGCAGGGCACCTGTTGTTCTTTACCAATACAACAGCTCTTTCAGTTCTGTTTCTTTTCACCAATAGGTACATTGAGGTGATACGAACAAACCAGCCAGGTTTCATCAATAATCTCCAAGGAGAATAGGTGCTGTGCAAATTTGCGTATTTCAGCCCCAGAGAGAACGACGGTCGGCCTGATTGTACCTATTGCTGTTTAATCAATACAACAGCTTTTTTAGGTCTGTTTCTTTTCACCAGTCGGTACATTGAGGTGCTATGAACATACCAGCCAGGTTTTAGCACTAAAATCCAAGAAGAATATAGGCTGTGCTAATTTGCGTGTTTCAGCCTGTCACGGAAGGACGATCGACCAGATTGTACCTATTGCAGTTTATTCAATACAACAGCTTTTTGAAGTCTGTTTCTTTTCACCAGTAGGTACATTGAGGTGCTATGAACATACCAGCCAGGTTTCAGCACTAATATCTAAGGAGAATAGCTGCTGTGCTAATTTGCGTATTTTAGCCTGTCATAGAATGATGATCGGCCTGATTGTACCTAGTGTTGTTTAATCAATACAACAGCTTTCTCAAGTCTATTTCTTTCCACCAATATGTACATTGAGGTGATCTGAACATACCAGCCAGGTTTCAGCACTAATCTCCAAGGAGAATAGGTGCTGTGCAAATTTGCGTATTTCAGCCTCTCACGGAACGACGATCGGCCTGACTGCACTTAGTGCTGTTTGATCAGTACAACAGCTTTTTTAGGTCTGTTTCTTTCCACCAGTAGGTACATTGAGGTGATATAAACATACCAGCCAGGTTTCAGCACTAATCTCCAAGGAGAATAGGTGCTGTGCAAATTTGCGTATTTCAGCCTCTCACGGAACGACGATCGGCCTGGCTGCACTTAGTGCTGTTTGATCAGTACAACAGCTTTTTTAGGTCTGTTTCTTTCCAACAGTAGGTACATTGAGGTGATATGAACATACCAGCCAGGTTTCAGCACTAATCTCCAAGGAGAATAGGTGCTGTGCAAATTTGCGTATTTCAGCCTCTCACGGAACGACGATCGGCCTGGCTGCACTTAGTGCTGTTTGATCAGTACAACAGCTTTTTTAGGTCTGTTTCTTTCCACCAGTAGGTACATTGAGGTGATATGAACATACCAGCCAGGTTTCAGCACTAATCTCGAAGGAGAATAGGTGCTGTGCAAATTTGCGTATTTCAGCCTCTCACGGAACGACGATCGGCCTGACTGCACTTAGTGCTGTTTGATCAGTACAACAGCTTTTTTAGGTCTGTTTCTTTCCACCAGTAGGTACATTGAGGTGATATGAACATACCAGCCAGGTTTCAGCACTAATCTCAAAGGAGAATAGGTGCTCTGCAAATTTGCGTATTTCAGCCTCTCACGGAGCGACGATCGGCCTGACTGCACTTAGTGCTGTTTGATTAGTACAACAGCCTTTTTAGGAACATACCAGCCAGGTTTCAGCAAAAATCTCCAAGAAGAATAGGTCCTGTACAAATTTGCGTATTTGCACCGGCGTAAATGATCACAAATCAAACTCCAATGGTCCGAAGACTGTATATATAATGCATATATGTCTCTGAATTATAGCAGGTAGGTTGCACTACATATACTTAATTTCAGTCCATTAGGGAGAGAATATTGTATCACACTTTGTTCCATAGAATAGCCTGATACTAACGTTATTAATAACATGCTATAGTGCTTCGAACTACAGATATATCAAAATGGTTAAATTACGACATGGTTACAAGATCAAAACTTGTTACGTTATCTGATATCTCAAAATGATTAAACATCCTTTTTGCAAATATGGACAGAATCAGTCATGAAACACATGCTGAGTTAGTGTTTGGTTACTGTGGTAGGTTTTCACGTCTATTTGCAACAATTTGTGTTAATATTTAATGTTGCTGGGTTGTGGGTATCGGTTGTAGTTTGTGATTGTTTTGTGACGGACTGTAATTCCAGAACTGTGTACTATGCGGTCGTGTTTCACAGCAGCGCTGTACCGACTGCCAGAATGGTTGAGCTGGCAATATTGCGCGGCCAGCAACGCAGCGCGCCAATTCAAATTGAGGACACATGTCGCTGCACCAATTTTCGCCAATCAGGTGCGCAGCAGCATTCCAGCATTGTTCCTTTCAGCCAATACAATTCGCTGGTGCAATGTGTGTCAGAATCTAGAACTGAACGAGAATGGATGAAACTAGGCAACAGGGGGATACAAGTAGGAAACCCTAACAAGTTGTACCCCCTAAGGCTAAACCCACTATAGCCTACACAATATAAACATATATAATGTTTAACACACCCCCATAGGCTAAGTGGGAGACAACCAGATGGTCACAAGACCAGTCAAAGCAAAGCAAAGCAAAGCATGCTCAGGGTGGATCTCAAGGAAACCACACAAATTCTGAGCACAAGCAAGTGGTCACAAGACCAGTTCACATGCAGTTTGATAATGTAACAAGAGGTACAGTGATCACAACCTAGCAAGAGTAAGCATGCAGGTATATATACATAGAGATCACAGTACAAACAGAGTCAAGAAGTAAGCAAGTGAGGCACAGTAGGCACAAGGCCTAGAACAGTACAGAAACGCTGATGATCACAAGGCTGAAGCGCCTTAGTGAACACATCAGAAGTGTTGGCCCGAGTGGCCACGTAAGCAAGATGAAGCTGACCTCGCTGCTGCAGCTCTCGAGCAAGGAAGTAGCGCAGAGCGATGTGCTTCGTTCTGTGCTCCAGTCTGTGCTCCTGACACAAGGCAATGGTAGCCTTGTTGTCGACGTACAGCACTGGAGGAGAACAAGGCGGCTCTCCAAGGTCAGTCAGCAGGTAGGTGAGCCAGCGTAACTCCTGTGCAGCCATGGCTGTGGCGTAGATCTCAGCCTCACAACTGGAGCTGAGAACTGAAGACGAGCGAGTAGAACGCCAAGAAACTGAACCAGAGCCAAGACGGAAGGTGTAACCCTGAGACGACCGCTGAGTAGCCTGGTCGTCAGCCCAAGAAGCGTCTGAGTGCCCAGTGAGGACAACTCGAGCCCGTCCTCCAAGCACAAGCCCCATGCCCGACGTACTGCACAAGTAGCGCAACACCCTCTTAGCGGCATCCATGTGCTCCTTCCGGTGACGGCCAGGAGCGACATAGCGTGCTAGGATGCTAAGAGGGTATGCAAGGTCAGGTCGAGTGCAGGTCATCAGGTACATGAGGCAGCCCACAAGCTCTGGATACGGGCCACTCGGCTCTATGGACTCATCCGAAGGCAGAGCTGAGAGCGAGTGACCGGTAGGCAGAGGAGTGGCCTGAGGCGAGGAGTACGTGAAGCGGAAGCGCTGAAGGACCTGCTGCACCATGTGTGACTGAGTCAAGGTGATGGTGCGCTGTGCTCTGTCCCGGGTGATCCGCAAGCAAAGATAGCTTGTCAGTTCACCCAGGTCTGTGCACGTGTGTCTCTTCTGCAGCTCCGACTTCACGTGGGCGAGTGCCTCAGTGTCAGCAGTAGCAAAGACCAAGTCGTCTACGTAGACGAGAACGTA